ATTGTTATTAATAATGTTATTAATTTCATAATAATATGAAAAATATTTACAATATTACGTGGTACATTGTGACGTATTACATATAATATAGATATTTATATATTATTACATAAATTACAATTATATCGACTTGTATATTGCGTAAAGATAAAGCTCAAAAGAAAAAAAATTTTAATATTTTACCTTTATCTTTTGTAGTTTAAAATTCCATCTATTTGTAAGTAAGTAAAGTTAGTAAAAAAGTACCATCCTGTTTCGAACCGGAGTTGATGATGCATTTTATTTAATCAAATTTACACAGTGCCATTTATAAAGTAACGATGGCGCTGCTTATTCTTATGTCTATTAAAATTATATAATTATATTAAACAGGTAAATAATATAATTCAGAATACATCTAATACTATCTTTTATAATACATCTAAATTATGTAATAATTGACGTCAAAGCATATTTTTCTTAGATATACATATACAGGGTGATTCTGAACAAACGTTTGTTTTTAAAATATCAAATTCTTGAATGAATTCTAAGACGATTTTTCCTTTTGCAAAATTTTCCCCGGAGCTCAGTTTTTAAATTATAAAAGAAAATGGTTTACTAATTACGGAACGAGTACAAAAGGTAGGCATGAACGCATAACAATTATTTATCAGCAGTATAAAGATTCTCTAGAGGGGAATAGTAGGCGTAAGCTAAGAAATCTGACCGAAAGTTGCAAGTAAATCCCTGGCAAAAAGGACTGGCTTATATCGAACGATGAATCGCACCGTCTCTGCCTACCTCATTCCGTACTTGTTCCGTAATTAGTTAACTATTTTCTCGATTCAAGCGCCATCTTTCGCAACATTCTAATACCGCGTGTGATAGTCCAGAGTTTCAGCCATAATTTCAATATTTGTGCAAGTACATTTTAAATAATCAGCCCTTTTCAGAGCTAGTAACCTTCAGAACTATAGGGCATGAAATCCAACTCTGCAGCATAACCAAAGTTTTCTTTGTTCAAACCTAGACATGCCGTATACCGGCCCTATTTCCGCCATATTGCATCGCTTCGCATCCCTTTGTCTAAAATACGTACAGCTAAGTACATATCAGATATTTTTTAACGACTCGGGAGAGCCTAAAAATCCGGGTAATTAAGTTCTCTCAAATGACAGCAACGAAACACAAAAAGCTGTCGCCTCTCTGGAAGTACCCGATTCCATCTCCTCTAGCTTTCCCCAAAAAGAACATTCAAAAAAGCGTAAAATGTCTCCTGAACCTCATCGTTCAAGTTCACCTCAATCAAACTCACCTCAATTCTCACTAAACAACTCAAATTCCTCAACACAAGGTAAATCAAATAACAATCTAATCTTAAAAACAAATAAACAGTCTACAACTTTATTCACAAATACTACGTTCTGCCGAACAATTTCTAATCCCTCGGAGGGTTGACGGACGAGGACCTTAATGAAATATTTGAATATTTACAACGAGACCATTTTTTCAACTGAAGGGAATAATATTACGACGTTGTAATGAATAATAATCACATTTGAACATTCTCTTTGATTTACAAATACACGAAATGCTATAGAGGAAACATATATAATATATATATATACATATATGTCTATATGCGTTACACATACCTGCCAAATAATAACCATAATAATATTTGTAAAATTTAATAAGGAAATATAATAAAAGAAAGCAGATTAAAAGGACAAATCGAGTCAGGTTCAATGCACCTAGAGTTTATTTCCCGTCATCAATCCTGTTCCTGAAAGAAGCGTGAAAGATTCTTAGTCTCTGGCGTCCCAGGATATAGCCTAGCAGGTTGCCTTGAAAAAGAAATAGAGAGAGGTTACGAGACGTAACATAGTTTAGTAGTTCGCATCATCGCATGCTATCTTGAAAAAAAGCGTTTATTTCTCGTTTGTACGTCGCAAAGTCGTGCGCTATCCGGAAAAAAGCGTTTATTTCTAGTTAGTTCAATAGTTCGCATCATCGCATGCTATCTTGAAAAAAAGCGTTTAGTTCTCGTTTGTACGTCGCATAGGCGTGCGTTATTCGGATAAAAAGCATTTATTTCTAGTTAGTTCAGTAGTTCGCATCATCGCATGCTATCTTGAAACGACAAACATTGTCAAGGTCCATATAACGTATTAATTCAACATGAAAACAATATTATCTATTGATCTCCTCAGCATTGGTCGTCTCCTTCATTCGTCAGCTTCACCATTAAAAAAGACATAGTCGAGATTTTAAAAAACCGATTACTCGAAGACAACAGTTCAGCTAAAAACTAGAGAAGCAGCGAATAATCTCATTAACAATTCAATCCTAAAATCAAAAAATCTAATCGCATTTATTCCCTTTTATAGGATATCTAGACAAGGAATTATCCGCCATATTCCTACTGATCTGTCAGAGGATGAAATATTGAAAAGAATTGACTCCTCATTTAACATCTCCTCAGTCAAGAGGCTCAATAGAAAGATAGCGGGCAAAGACCTGTCACCCAAATGCGTTTCGTCGAAATCTATTTTAATCAGTTTTAAAGGTCAGTTCCTTCCAAAATACATTTATCTCTTTATAGTCAGGCACGAAGTTATTCCTTACGTTACTAAAATCATTCTCTGTTTTTCATTTCTACGATATGAACATCAAAAACTACAATGCAAGAGATACCCTCGATGCTCCCATTATGGTGAAAGATCCTATGAAGAAAATATAACCTGCTCCAAAATAAACCAGTCTCCAACTTGCGCTAACTGCAAATTAGCCCACAAATCCAACGACACTGCTTGTCCGGAGCTTGCATTCCAAAAAAGAATCAGAGAACTTGCTGCTCTCAAAAATATTTCTCTTGATGCGAAAAGCATTATTAAAAGTAAGGACAAAAACCTATCCAATCGTTCTCCTTACAGTTTTGCTGACTTCTCAAAACTTAATAACTCTCCCACTCCTGATTCTATAACTTTTTCTTTCTTCAATCCAATCTTCTTCTCTTCCCCTCAAAACACGCTCCCCCCCCCCAAGTAAGTCGTTTGCGGAGATAGCCTCCAAACAAATACATAACAAATACTTCTAATTCCTCCTCCCCCTCTTCCTTCCACCATTTCCCTAACCATTTTTCTTCCCACAATTTGCCTTCATCTCATTCCCTCTTTACCCACTTCCCCATCCCTAACTCCTAAATTAACAAATCCCAATTTACCTCTTCAAAGTACCTCTCTCCTCCTCACTCTTTGTTTATAACCCTCAATGGCAGATTGCCACACTCCTCTATCCCTACAACAAAATATAACTTAAATGCCAACGCATCTTCATTCTCTTCTCCTCAACCTTCCTATCCATCGCTATCACATGCAGCCTTTTCTAACAGCATTAGCAATGCAGAAATATCCACATTTCCCCAAATGCTACTCTCTTTCATTAACATTCTCACTGAAAAATTCTTCCTTTTATTGCCGCCTTCGGATTAAGTGAACAAACTATTAATCCTTAACAATTATCTTAAACTGACTAAATGCTTCTAAATCATAAATCAAATTAACAAAATGATCCAAGCCAAACCACCACCCCAACAAAAAATTAAACATAAATTCCTTTTCTCTGAAAATTCTACAATAGCATTGCCACTCGCTATCTAACAAAAACAGACCATAAATTTTTTTTGCTCAATCTCACGATTTAATTGCACTCTCCGAAATATGGCTTCACCCCAACTTCCACTTTTTTCATTCCCAATTTTAATATCTTCAGAAACAACTGTATTCTTCAGCTGAATCAAGGTCTTCTCCTTGCCGTAAGAAATCCCCTATCATTTCATAGGACACAATATTCTTCTTCCAAATAAACTTGAAATCACAACTCTCACTATTCCCCTTGATCAAGGGAATCTCCTAATTCTATCTTTAGATCTCCCCAATCTATTCTCAATGATCAAAAGTAGGATAACTTTATTCAACTTCTGCAATAATTATCCTTTCTCAATAATTTTCGGGGATTTTAACGCCCATCATACTTCATGGGGATTTGAGACCAATTCTGGAGCGCGTATAGCCCTTCTCAATGCATCCTTTCTAACCTAATACATCTGTATCAATGACTAGGCACAAATCTATATCACCCGTCCGAGCCAAAAGCTCTCCATAATAGACTCGATCTTTGTCTCTCCCTCCATAAATCACATCTGAAATTCGTACATCCATACGGATAGCCACTTCAGTGATCACTTTCCCATCTCTACTACGCTCAACTGTCTTTTTTTAAACCCTAAAGCCTATCGCACACGAAATTGCATAGCTGCATGTGCATAACATAAGACCATATGGACCAATGAGCATCGAGTATTAAGTAGCCATATTGATTTACATAACATAGCATAAGCATAAGCATAACATGTGCATAAGAAATGAAAAAATCCATAAGAACGAAATTTTTATGCATATGGTCTATGTACAGCCAATCAAATGTCAGACATGAATTCCCGCCAGGATGACAACCTAGTTCCACCGTTATAGAAGTCTGTGGTATTTATGTTCACGCTAGACTGCATTAAAGAAAATAAATAAAAATTCATAAAGCTAAAATATGGAAGATCATAATAATTATTATTTGAAAAGAAGTGAAAATGAAGAAAATATGTGTGAGAACAGAATAATTAATACAATGACTTCGAGAGAGGAAGATTCGTTATTAGTGGATCTTGTTAAAGGTTATCCGCATCTTTATAATAAGGAATCAAGAGATTTTAAAGATATTATTAAAAAAAATAACTCATGGAAAGAAATAGGAGATATATTAAACACAACAGGTATGGAATACATTTTTTATATTACTTATATACATTATATATATATATATATATATATATATATATATATATAATTAATATATTATATATATTTATATTTAGCTTATAAAATAGATATATTTATTTATTTACCTTGCTCTAATTATCATACCATACTGGCTCTTGCCAATTTTTAATTAATAATTTAATTATTAATTATTTATACCTTGCATTTTACCACTATTCAAAATGCGGTTAATGATACATGTCACTAATGACACATATGACACATGTCATTAATACTGATCGAAAAGCGTCGCTAGCGCAATCGCTCTATCGATTAAGGCTAGTAAGAATTCGATCCGTTCAGCCGTTATTGAAATCCGATAATCTGAGTTACTCTCAACTGTTTGACTCGCGTATAGATACACGGAGTGCCGCGCAATGCTTCGCATGAACTTGGCGCGAGACACTACCGTGTCTCTTGATTTATTAGTTAGTTACTTGCAGTGAATATAGTAAGGTGATTGTAGTGAAAATGATGAGAAAAAGAGATATTGGAAGAAAATACGTAAGTGGCGCAGAGAAGGAGAGAAAGCGCAAAGCTCAAGAGGAATTTATTAATAGCCAAAAAGGCTCCATGAATAAATTTTTAAAAAGCACTATCAATACAGAAAAAAACAGGCCTACTCAAGAAATACCTGGTACAAATTCGCAAGATGATGAACTTGTGGAATATACAGATAACAATAATGTAAGTGTTATTACCCTAAAAACAAAATACTCCTGACCTGAGTCGGTTTTTAATTTAAGCTTAAGTAATTACAAAATATATTTAAAAAGAATTGTTTTTGCAGGATAATGGAAAAGAAACAAAAAAATCAACTGAGAACATAGATGAATATAAAAAACTTGAGGACATAGGCACATGGCCAGTAAATCTCGAGGTAACTGAAAAAAATATTTTAATTGAAAAAGGACCCCGTAAAATTTGTTCAAATAACTATCCGAAAGATGAAAAGGATAGATGCTTTTCGGAAGTATATTACACAAGGAAAATGAGCAATGGCGAACAAATTGATAGACATTGGCTAGTATATTCAAAAGAAAAAAATGCTATCTTTTGTTTTCCTTGCAAATTGTTTCGGAGTGGGTCAGGCCAGTTGGAGACACATGGATTTAATGATTGGCAGCATGCATCAGAGAGAATTAAACAACACGAAGTATCTAAAGTACACTTCAAAGCTATGGACACATGGAATGAAGCTCGTTTAGCTCGTATTAGTGCTGCAAACTGTTCTAATATTTCTCATATGTCTGAAAAACTTTATATTGAAGAAAAACAGAAATGGAGAAATATTTTGGAAAGAGTAATAGCCATTATTCAATATCTAGCCGAACATAATATGGCATTGAGAGATTCATCCGATTTACTGAATACTCCAAATAATGGAAATTTTTTAGGCCTCGTAAAACTTATGGCTCGGTATGATTCTGTTCTAATGGAACATGTAAATCATGCTAAAGAATCAAGAAATGTTGTTACCTATTTAAGCAAAAATATACAAAACGAACTTATATCTCTGATGGGTAATAAAATCAGAAATACTGTGATCGGTCGAATAAAAGCTGTCAAGTATTTTTCTGTTCTTTTGGATTGTACTCCAGATACTTCTCATCGGGAGCAACTTTCTTGCATCATACGATATGTTCATATACACAACGGTGAAGTACAAATATGTGAAAGTTTTACCGGGTTTTTGGTGGTCAGACACTAGCGGATTAGGATTGGCAACAACTCTAAAACAACATCTGAATGATTGTGGACTTGATTTTACAAACTGCAGAGGACAAGGATATGATAATGGAGCAAACATGAAGGGATACAAAGCTGGTGTCCAAGCCCAACTTTTACGAGAAAACCCAAAAGCTTTTTTTACACCGTGTGGCTGTCATAATTTAAATCTCGTATTGGCAGATATTGCTAGCGTTTCTCCCAAGGCTGTTACATTTTTTGGTGTTATTCAACGATTTTACACATTCTTATCAGCTTCTAACTATAGATATGATATAACTAAGAAATATTTAAAGCTTACACCAAAAACGCTATCTGATACTCGATGGGAATGCCGCGTAGAAAGTGTAAAAGCTGTACGGTTCCAAATTAAAGAGTACAAATATTTGAAGAAATTTTAACCGAACCTAAAGATCCAAAAGCTGCTAGCGAAGCTACTTCTTTATTGAAAGAAATTCAATCTTTTCCATTCATATTATCCACTGTTATATAGTATGAATTACTCGTAAAAGTCAATAGAGTAAGTAAAATGCTTCAGCAAAGGGACGTGCAAATGGATGTGGCCATATCACTCCTTGATAATCTGCTAAAAGAGTTATTAACTTTTAGAGAAGATGGCTATCAAGAGTGTGTGAAAACCACAAAAATTATTGCAAAGCAAAATAACGTTATTCCTCATTTCCCTCAAAAACGGGTTGCTAGATCAAAACGACCGTTTGATTATGAAAGCATCGATGATCCAATAAGAAATGAAGAAGAACAATTCCGCATAGAATATTTTCTCCTCGTTACCGACCAAGCCATTGCATCATTTAAGGAACGTTTTAAGCTGTACGAAGATCTCAGGAATAACTTTGGATTTCTCTACGATTTCAGAAAAATAAAAACAACATCTAAAGAAGACTTGATGAAAAACTGCATGGACTTCCATAATATTTTACAGGATGGACAGAATTCTGATGTAGATGGAGCAGATCTTCTTGAAGAATTGTTATCTTTCATTCAGATAGTTCCAGAAAACAGTCAAAGTTGCCTTTTAGATGTACTGAACTACCTAATTGAATCAAAACTAAATCTAGTCTATCCGAATATTTATATTGCGATTAGAATTTTATTAACCATATCAGTAACAATTGCTTCTGCTGAAAGAAGCTTCTCAAAACTTAAACTAATAAAAAACTACTTACGTTCAAATACATCACAGGAAAGACTGGTGGGACTAGCCATGATGTCAATAGAAAAAGAGATATCACATGAAACCGATTTTTCTAATGTGATTAATGACTTTGCTTCCGCAAAAGCGAGAAAAGTTAATTTTTAAGATTATTGTTCAAAGGTTTTATGTTAATTTTTATTTTGGAGAGAAAAATATCTTTGTTTTAAATTTTTTTTTTGAGTTGCAAGAATCGGCCTCGCATTTTTTTTTTTGCACCCAGCCCCGCATTAACTAGAACCGGCCCTGTCAAGCACTTAAAAATAGAAAAGACGCTATGAGAAAATATAAAAAAGACCCCTCTTGGGTCAACTTCATTAACTTCAAAAAATTAGAGGTCATTACCAAAAAAATTTTCAAACTGGAAAAAAAGCGGAGATGGAGAACCTTTTGTGAATCCATCTCTCCTAAAACTTCCATCACTATCATATAGAAAATCATCAAAAGATACAAAAACAGATTCCTCAAACTTCCATCACTACCATATAGAAAATCATCAAAAGATACAAAAATAAATTCCTTATTTCTTCCCTCTCACCACCTGAATCCAATTTTATAATCCCCGAAAGTATGCTTAATGATTCTATATACCTCCCTCTACATTTTTCTCCACATACTCATCTATAAACGACATTCCACCGTCACCAATCCATTCCTAGAAGATCCCTTCACAATAGAAGAACTATACTCGATATTAAAAATCTCAAAATTAAATTCTCACCCGGTCCAAACCGAAATAGATAACAATATTATCTCCAAACTACTGTTACGTCCAGACCCTTGAAAGGTCGGGCCATCTGGAAGAACGTAATCTACTTACCCGGTAACATACTTTCGGGCGTGTATATGGATCGGGTCGAGCGCACTGAGGGGCCTGACACAGATCAGTGACCACAATGGTCCCTTTAACTCTGTGAGGCCGAGTTTCCACTGAGCGCGTCTCGCGTCGCGTCAGCCGGCGCGTCACGACGCGACGTGACGAAAGTTTTGAAACAGCGTCGTTCTTATTCATACTGAACGCGTCGCGACAAATGAAGGTAATGCATGAGCAGGTACAACATAACCTAATATCAATGATTGTTGATATTAGATAGTGTCTGTTCATGCATTGCGTTATTTGCTGCGACGTGTTTAGTATAGATAAGAAGGATTGTAGAATTATGGAGGCCTACCGACAACGTTGGCGAAAAAAAATTATTGGCATGATGCTACTCCATAGCCGAATCAAACTTGTCGATAAGGAACACCAAAGGTTTCATAGATTCTGGGTGCGTCCTATACTTGAAACTAGACGAACTCACGGGAACTGGGAACATTTGATACAGGAGCTTCGCTTATATGATCATGAAACTTACTTCAATTTTATGAGAATGACACCACACACTTTTGAAGAGATTCTTTCTTTGGTTGGATCACAGCTCGTACGACAAACTACAAATTTTCGAGAACCAATACGTGCAGAAGCTCGATTATCGTTAACAATTCGGTAAGTTATGAAATACTTAATACTTATGTTACCGTAAAACGATTTTCAAGTTAATAAAATATAATATTAAAATAAATAATTTCCCGGGAATGTTTCAGATACTTGGCTACTGGAGATTCTCTGAAATCACTTTGGCCTTCAGAATTGGGACAGCTACTGCATCTAAAATAATTCGAGAGACGTGCACAACAATATGGCACAACATGCAACATGAATTCTTTAGTCCTTCTCAAGAAAATTGGCTACACGTTCATAACGAATTTACACTGCGTTGGAACTTTCCACATTGTGTTGGTGCATTAGACGGAAAGCATGTTGTCATCACAGTAAGTTAATTTTGTCATAAACAATAAGACTATTGATGTTGGGATTCAACAACATATATACGCGTTTACAGATATTTTTTTTAATGCTTTGTATTTTTATTTTCTCATAGGCTCCACCGCATTCTGGATCATCATTTTATAATTACAAAGGACAACATAGTATTGTACTAATGACCTTGGTATCAGCAGATTATAAGTTTTTAATAGTAGATATAGGGGCTCAAGGCCGCCATAGCAACGGAGGCATTTTTAAAAATTCTGAGATTGGTCATCGATTCAATGAAAAGCTAATGGATTTGCCTCCTCCATCTATTATTGATTCATATACTCAACCACTTCCATTCGTAATAGTCGCAGATGAAGCTTTTCAATTGAACTCGTATACTATGAGGCCATACCCAGGGCGGAATATGACTCTAGAAAGGCGAATATTCAACTATAGATTGTCCAGAGCACGAAGAGTTGTGGAGAATGCCTTTGACATTATGACATCACGATGGAGAATTTATCAGAAGCCTATGAATACATCGCTGGCTACGACCGAAGCAATTGTACAAGCTACCATTTGCCTTCACAATTTTATGATAAAGAGAGATAACTATTGTGACGACAACTTTGCAGATCATGTGAATACCAATGGTATCGTGACAAATGGTGCGTGGCGAAAAAATATACAAGAAATATGTGCAATTCAAAATCGAGCTATCCTAGCATTGGCAGCGTCGAAGCAGATGTCTCTCAGGCAATTCGACGTGAAAACTGCGTTCCTGAATGGAGACCTGGAAGAAGATTTCTTCATGAAACAGCCGATTGGTTATGATGATGAGAGTGGACGAATATGTAAGTTGGTTAAAAGCTTGTATGGCTTGAAGCAGGCTTCTCCACGCTGCTAGAACCGGAAGTTCACATCGTTCATCACAAAGTTCGATTTCAAGGCCAGTCAATCGGATCCATGTGTGTTCGTATGCAACAGAAAAGAAATGATTGTGTTGGCAATCTACGTGGACGATGGGCTCATTGCATCGGAAAACGAAAAGGCCATATTGCCGGTGATTGACCATTTGCAAAAAGAATTCGAGATTAAGATATTCGACGTAGGATGCTTTTTAGGATTTGAGATCGATCAACGATCGAACGGATCAATTCATGTCAGTCAACGGGCATACGCACAAAGAGTACTGCAACGTTTTGGCATGATGGACTGTCATGCAGTCTCGACCACTAGACGCCGGACAGAATTTGAGTGACTTCGAGGCGGATGGAGAGGTCAATTTTACAGGGAAGCGATAGGCAGCTTGATGTACTTGGCTGTAGTGACGCGACCGGACATCACCTTCGCGGTCGGAAGTGTCAGTAGATACCTGGAAAAGCCGGCCGAGGCGCATGTGAATGCTGTCAAACGCATTCTGAAATACGTAAAGGGTACCTTGGACATGGAAATACTCTTCGAAGGAGGCAACGATCTGACGTTCTGCGGCTATAGTGACGCAGATTATGCGGGTGACAAGCGAACTGCACGATCGACATCAGGATATGTCTTCCTATTTGGCGGAGGGATCATCAGTTGGGGTTCGGAACGTCAAAAATCAGTGGCGTTGTCAACAACCGAATCCGAGTACATGGCAGCGTCGTATGCCATAAAGGAGTTGATATGGCTGAAGCAATTGCTGTCGGAGCTGCTACAAACTGAAATGGGTACGCCGAATTTTTTCATGGATTGTTAGAGTGCGATTCGGCTTGTGAAGAATCCGGAATTTCACAAGAGGACCAAACACATCAATGTTCGATACCACTTCATTCGTGAGAAGTTCGAGGAAGGTGAATTCGAACTGAAATATATGTCAACGAATGAGCAGTGTGCAGACATTATGACAAAGACATTGCCAAGGGCAAGGCATCAATTTCTTCGTGTATTAATGAACATAGTTTCATTCGAAAATTGATTATTTCCTTGTTTTGTCATTCTAAAGTATTTGATTAATGCGTAACTTGTAACTAAAAGTGGGAGTATTGAGATTCGAATACGCGCCGATGTTTCACTGTAGTTTCAAGTTTTTTTTTGTAAGGTCCCCTACCCTTACGATTCTGTATGGATATGGTGATGGAAACTCGGCTATGTCTTGTAGCCTATGAGAATGACCCGGCACTTCTTGATCTGATTTCTCACAATAAACACGCGGTTCAGCGCTCTCGTAATTCTTCATTTTGGCAAGTTTTTGTGTGTTTTCTTTTATTTCATAATCACATCCTATTACACAACGCGATATCGTCAACACTAAATAATCATAATGGGACTAAACTGGTTGAAGGCACATTAAATATATAAAAAAAAAAATTCAAACATCTAAATTTGGTAGTATGAGCAAAAAAACATAAGCTCCTTGCCATCAAATACAAGAAGAACTATTTTCTCTTATAGTTTAAAAATTAAGCTCCGGACAAAATTTTGCAACAGGAAAAATCGTCTTAGAATTCACTCAAGATATTTTAAAGACACATGTTTGTTTAGAATCACCCTATATATAAAATAATTTGCGATTCAATTATGTAATAAGACGATATACTCAAGAAAATTTTATAATATAATAAAATTTAAAAGTAATACTAATGTTCTCTTTCTTTGAAATTCCAATTTATATAACTAGAAATATTCCTATAATCAACCCTAATTTCGATTGAAATATATATAATAAAATATAAATGAATAAAAGAAATATTCAATTAAAATGTCAAATGTTTTTAACACATTCGCTCCTCGGACATAGTTTGTTTCCACACGCCAAGTACTTTCATTTCTATAAGGTCAGTACGAGTCATCTCGTAGCTGGCTTGTGAAACTCATATATCAACTACGAGTATACTCATAGTTGGCAGCATGGACGTAAGAAATACTGGACAGAGCATAAAGTACTCTTTTAGACGAGGGTGTAAAGCCTGAGGGGTAAGGGATTTATTGTCGCGGCCATCTTAGATGCATCAGATTTAGCATCTATTTTCACATCGCACGGAATCGAATAAAATATGAGAGATTCCGTGAAATCATCTATCATCTGAAATCGCTGTGTTATTCCGAATCATTTTTGAATATTAAGAAATTCAAAAATATCACACTCCGTGAAATTAATATCCGTCGCCATCTTACATGCCTCATATTCCGTTGCAGTAGACATTTCTTTTCCCTCACCCTTTGAGCTTCACCCCCGCAGCAATACACTCTGTCCAATATTTCTTACGTCCATGGTTGGCAGCGAACGTGTTAATAAAATTATACCATTTCACATATGATGTGTATGATGTGTATCAAATTCCCAATGACTATTATTCACTTGATTATTTATGAAGTTGTACACACAAATTAATAAGATCATAAATTCTTAAGTTTTTATTCATACTGATGTATTAGGTTGGCAACTAAATTCCCGCCGTTTTTTTTAAATTTTTTAAAAGTTTATTTTTCAACAAAAATTAACAACTAATTAATAATGTATTCTTCCTTGTTGTTTACAACTTTAACAAGGAAGAATACATTATTAATTAGTTGTTAATTTTTGTTGAAAAATAAACTTTTAAAAAATTTAAAAAAAACGGCGGGAACTTAGTTGCCAACCTAATATATTAAAAAGTAATGGTAATATGGTGTCTGTATGCTATCTTAAAATTTTGTTAAAATTTACTAAATTTACTAAATGTTTGTTAAAAACTAATAATAACTGTAAATAAAGCAGAATTCTTATAATATTGATTTATTAATAAGTATAAATATCAGTAATTATCAAATAGACTGTGTGTGTATGTAAATATATTTCCAATCTAATTGACTAATTTGTGTCTCTCCACACAATTTTTATAAAATTTAACAATTATACCCGTATAAATGTGCTTCTGCATATGCTCTCGGCATATCATCTGAATTCCTACGAATCCTCCTACCAATTGGTTCTAGATCATTGTAACATTTTGTGAATACTCTTTCTATGGCTGCATTTGCTACTTCTTCTGATACTGTGTGTACTGCCATTACTGACATCTTAGCTTTATGTTTCACACAATTCTGGAAAAATACATTACACACATAAATATATATATTTTAAATTAAAAATAGCACGCACATATAGGGACAAATGTATCATCCCTCTTTAAAATCAATATTTTGATACAATTTACCTGATGTGTTGCTTTTATATTAATAAAAGACGAATCGCCTTGTAGCATTGAACTTATAAAACTACAATGACCGATATTCGCTGCTCTGATTTCGGTACAGGCTAGATGATCGATATTTTTCATATCTAATTTATTACGACAATAGTCAAACATATGAATCATTTCATGTAACAGAACACCGCGAACTATGTTTTCACTGTGTGCCATGTTCTGACAAATAACTACCTGCAAAAGAAATCAATTTTATTCTTTATAACATGTACATAAAATATAATAATACATAATAAACTTTTAAAATTTTAATTTAAAAAAATGCTTCGATATATGTGACATAATAAGACATTTCATCAACAAAAAACATACAATATAAAATAAATTTTAATTAAACAACTTAACAAGTTAAATAAATAAATAAATATACTCACTTGATTTAATTCGGAATCATATCCACCAGTTACAAGTGGATTGCATACTTCGCAAGAAATATGTCGACGCATATCTATTTCGCTGAAACATTATTTATTAATGATTTTTTTATACTACAATGAAACAAATGATCATAGATTTATATAATTAAATTAAAATAATAAGCTACAAACCATCCAGAACTCTTCAGTGCTCCCACCATTAGTTTTACTATAGGACCTACAACAAAATAAAATAAAATAAAATAATAAATTAAACAATTTTTTTTATCAAAAAAATAAACGTATATTTTTTATATTTATATTTATTTTCATATTTATTTAAAAATGTAATGGATTAAATTTTTATTAAAGACAAATATATTAAATTTTCCTTTGTGAAAAACATTCTTTACATATGTTTTAATAAAACAGTATTTTACACTTGTAAAAGCATGAAAGTAAAAAATTTATATCTTTACTCTTTTTATTTCACCCTTGTGCATAGATAAGGGATATCGTACTATCTTTTATGCATCTATAAACATTTTCTTCGCATTTGACTTTATCTATCGACTCTCGTCCCGCAGCTCCGATTAACAGATTAAACCAGCTACGCTTTTGTTTAGCTCCTTTCCTTTCGGGATACATATCAGATCCCCATAAACCGTTGTTGCTTGCATTATCTGCGGTGACTGCTTCTTTGCTAGCATCACCTTCGTTTCTCTTTCCATCATCTGACTTTTCATTCTTCACTGTCATTGTTACGCGAAATAGAAAACCAAAAATGTGAATAAACGAATAAATCAATATAAATAAATATCAATCGCACTGTAACTTATGATATTGTTAGTCAAATATTCATGTATCTATATAATACTGTGCGGATCTATTTCCCAACTTGAGGTTATAACTGGTTATAACAAGTTACATCATAAGGTGCGTTCGTTTATGCAGCAGTTAGTGCATCCACTGTATCTCTGGGTGCTTTCCAGCTATGGTAACACAGTGATACACTGTGTGACACAGTGTTACACAGTGTCGACTTGTAGCTGGAACGCTTTTTAGCTATTTTATTTTGCCACTAGAGTGCAGGGCAGTCACTTTTAATAGTTGTCACTAGGTCTAAATTTTCAGAACGTTCCCACACAACATTATGTCGTCTTAAAGACGTCTAGATGTCTTTAAGTCGTCTTTTAGATGTCTTTTGGACGCAATATCACGCAATACCATTCTTAAAAAAATTAATGATACCAAATATGAAATGTTATGTTGGCACTCACTGGGGTGCTACAAAACGACGACACAGGCGAACACAGCATTTTTGCTGTGTACGATTGTGTCGACTTGTGTCGTAGTTGGAAAGCACCTGTGTCGACACTGTAGCGACACGGTGTCGCCTGTGTTGCTTGCTGGAAAGCACCCTCTCTCTGCTCAGTCACGTGACGTAATTTCCCGAACGGATTTCTGCGCAAACCGCTGCTTGAATTGTATTGGATCGTATCCAATAAGGCCCTGTTCCACAACTCGAGTTAATCCGAGTTTAATACGTTAAACTGGGTCCTGATTGGTCCATTTGCTACTTAAACTCGGATTAACTGGATTGTGGAACTGGGCCTAAGAATATTAAAAACAGTAAACATTATAAATGTGTAATTTTTTGAAACATATGTCTATTTTATTTAAAAAATCATGACCCAGGTAGCACACGGTCGTTTTATATATGTTTCTTAAACGTATCCAATATTTTTTAACCGTAAAGCATTAAGGCCCGGTTCCACAACTCGAGTCAATCCGAGTTTAATACGTTAAACTGGATCCTGATTGGTCCAATCACTACTTAAACTCGGATTAACTGGATTGTGGAACTGGGCCCCAGTTCCACAATCCAGTTAATCCGAGTTTAAGTAGCAAATGGACCAATCAGGACCCAGTTTAACGTATTAGGGCCTATCCAGACAAACTTGCATAAGTAGAGAACCTCTAGGAGAGAGAATGGATAACTGATCAAGCTTTTTCATAATTGGCTGGCAGAAAATGTATCAATTTTAGCTATTGCGACGCCAATGCAAAATATGATGACACACAAATAGGACACACATGACACACATATATTAACCTATTTGTGTGTATCATATTTTGCATTGGCGTCGCAATAGCTAAAATTGATACATTTTCTGCCAGCCAATCATGAAAAAGCTTGATCACATGTCACATGATCAGTTGTCCATTCTCTCTCCTAGAGGTTCTCTATGCATAAGTGCATATGCATAACATAAGATCATATGAACCAATGAGCATCGAGTATTAAGTCGCCATATTGACTTATATAACATAAAGCCTATCGCACACAAAATTGCATAGCTTGCATGTGCATAGCATAAGACGATATGGACCAATGAGCATCGAATATTATGTTATGTAAGTCAATATGGCGACTTAATACTCGATGCTCATTGGTCCATATGGTCTTATGCTATGCACATGCAGCTATGCAATTTCGTGTGCGATAGCCCTAATACTCGATGCTCATTGGTCCATATGGTCTTATGTTATGCATATGCACCTATGCAAGTTTGTCTGGATAGGCCCTTAAACTCGGATTAACTCGAGTTGTGGAACCGGGCCTCACTGTCCTACTCTTTCGTCCCGTAGTGGGGACACTGATGGGATGAGTGAAAACGAAACAAGCATGCGTGTAGGAGATGAGGGGAAAGCAGCGTGCACCAGCATGAGCGGCATGTAGTCTCTTTAATTTCGTTTCGTTTTACATATTAAACATAAAAATACAAATAAAAATATGGTACGTTCCTGCTGCATTTGTCGCAAGCTGTACGGGACAGAAGGTATTACTTTCCACAGGTAAATATTCAATGTATATTCCTTAAAGGTTAGAAGAATAAATGCTCTAGCGAAAATGAATATTCGTAAGCGTAAGCCGAATGTAAGGAAGTGTAATAGAAGCGTAAACAAAGCTCCTAAAAAGCGTAAATTGAAACGTCGAAGTAACGAAGCGTTAAATGCTTGAAAAATTGCACACAAATTCATTTAGAAATATTATTACTTTTTTTATTACTTTTATTATTACTTTTTTTATTACTTTTATTATTACTTTTTAAAAATATTACTTTTATTATTACTTTTTTTATTACTTTTATTATTACTTTTATTATTACTTTTTAAAAATATTAAGAAACTATACTAAAAAACTAAATAAGAAACATTATTACTACATTAATTTGATAAACGGTAGCTACTTCTTGTTCTAGTATACCTACACAACAAGATTTGAAATTAAAATGGATCGATGCCATCGGAAAAGAAGTCTCCAAATATGCTTGTGTATGCAATCAACATTTTAAGGATAATGATATAATGTTTACCGGTATAAAAAAAGGAACTATACGAAGACGCTTACACTTTAAAGCTGTCCCCACTTTGCATCTAACGAAAGAAAAGGAGATTGAATATGAGTGAGTTTTATTTTATCTCTGTTTTATTCTAGTTTTGTATATTCATGTATAAGGATTATTAAGAAAAAATTGTTTCAGTAAAACAAACATAGATTTTGTGAAACAAGCTTGTGTAGATGAAACGAATCAACATCAAAATTTTATTAATCCTAATCGTACAAGTGAATTACAAGATATTGAAAATACAGCTGAAAATGTTAATACAGATAAGAGAAGGTAATTAGGGGTAGTAAAATTATTAACAAAAAAACATGATATTATCTCTTCAGTAATTTTTTATATTAATAATAATTTTGTTGTAGAGATGCTGAAAATAAGGAAGAACGCAAACGCTGTCATGTTACGAGATACGTTGGAGACTTTAATTGTGAAGATTTTACATCTGATCGTAATTGGAAAATATTTCGCAAATATTACAAAAATACATCAAAAAAATTAAACATTCTTCAAGGAATAATTAGACGTAGAGATAAGAAAATAAAAGAGTTAGAAGCTTTAATGGATTATTTGAAAAGAAGGCTTCGTAGATAGACTAGTCATAAAGTTTTTAACTGTACATAGATCTTTATGTTGCCTAAGTACACGTTCAGCAACTTTACAAATTATAATAACGTGTGGACTAGGAAGTAATAATCTTCCTTTATTTTTTATTTTTAATAATAAAGAATTATTTTCCTTACTCTCTAAACTTTGCCGACACATATCACATTTAATTTTATTCTTAATAATTTTTATCACATATCCAGCTATGTAAGTGACGACTTCTTAATTATTAATAATTAAGAAGTCTTAATTCCAGCACTAACCATTTGGAAACTCATAATCGTGATCAAATGATGTAAAAATATTTAAGATTTTATTTGACTTTCTGTATCTGTTTGAGATTTAAGAATTTGAGTTTCATTTTGAACACTACAATTTGCCCCTTCAGGTACACTGCGCGACAACGATTCGTTCCATGGTCCCTCTCGCGAGGCAAGGGGAGCGTAGCTTCTAGCCAATCAGCTATTGCCACGCTGCCAGCTGATTGGTCACTTCTACGCTCCCTTTGCCCCGCGAGAGAGGGGCCGTTGAACGAATCGTTGTCGCGCAGTGTACTATAGCAAAACATGGGTCATTAATTTTTTATTTGCTCTTTTAAATTGAAGGCAAGTCGGATTATTATTTAAATCCTCCCATTCTTCTTATACTGGAAAAAATGTCTCTATGTGGTCTTGAGACATTTTATAAGTTAATAAATATGAAATATATTTTTTTTCAAATAAATATTTGGCTATATTCAATACGCTATTCATGCCAAATATTAAACCCCAAAATCCGATCCTCTTACTTTCTAAAATAGGAATAACCATATAGAATAGACCGGCTCCTGCCGTAAAAGGCAGCGTTGAAAGATCTGAAGGACAGAGAGATGATTCCGGGTATCTCTGTCCTTCTCTTTTGTCTCGTGGTGGGGACACTGTAGAAGTTGAGGAGAAAGCAGTGTGCATGCTCGCTTCGTTTTCACTCATCCCATCAGTGTCCTCACCACGAGACAAAAGAGAAGGACAGAGATACCCGGAATTATCTCTCTGTCCTTTAGATCTTTCAACCCTGCCTAAGGCCCAGTTCCACAATCCAGTTAATTCGAGTTTAAATAGTGAATGGACCAATCAGGACCTAGTTTAACGTATTAAACTCGGATTAAGTTGAGTTATGGAACCGGGCCTAAAGCCAAGTTCCACGATCCAGTTAATCCGAGTTTAAGTAATGAATGAACCAATCAGGACCCAGTTTAACGTATTAAACTCGGATTAACTTGAGTTGTGGAACCGGGCCTTAGGCCCGTTTCTACCAACGCCGCTTAATTTTAATCTTAGCTTAACTCATTCTTTGTCTCTTTCTAAAAGAACAGTTAAAAGGAGACAAAGAATGAGTTAAGCTAAGATTAAAGTTAAGCGGCGTTGGTAGAAACGGGCCTTAGGCCCAGTTCCACAATCCAATTAATCCGAGTTTAAGTAATAAATGAACCAATCAGGACCTAGTTTAACGTATTAAACTCGGATTAACTTGAGTTGTGAAACGGGGCCTAAGGCCAAGTTCCACAATCCAGTTAATCCGAGTTTAAGTAGTGAATGGACCAATCAGGACCTAGTTTAACATATTAAACTCGGGCCTAAGACCGGACTATGAATACCGGCCAATAGTGCGTTCGAAAATATGTTTGGTTGGTGCTGGGAAAAAAGATAAAGTTAGCAGTATTGAAAACTCCCAGTGCTGCGTTTCGTTTCTCCCACTGGGATCACTAGGATTAAAAAAATTTGCTACTTGAGATATTAAAAGAGGTAAATAAGTAGTTAAATATATTTTATAATAATATGTTTAATAACATCACATATATTATTATTAATACGGACGTGTGTTTCATATTTAATAATGCAATAATTATAATAAAGTGACATAATTTACTTAAAATGTGATTTAAATTCAATATTTGTATATCTGGTAACAACATTTTCCAAATAATCTGTTATTTTTGGTACTATTTTCCTTTCACCTCTATTTTCGAATAAAATATTTTGTAATTCTTCATTATTATCATCATTATCTGAAGAATTACTCGAAGATTCAAAAATGATTTCAAGTAAATATAATAATAATAATTAGTATAATATAATAATAATTAGTATAATTGCAACACTTTCATATATTGTACACTGCGCGACAACGATTCGTTCCTTGGCCCCTTTCTCGCAGGGCAAGGGGAGCGTAGAAGTGACCAATCAATTGGCAGCGTGACAGTGGCTGATTAGTTAGAGGCTATGCTCCCCTTGCCCCGCGAGAGGGACCGCCCCCGGAACGAATCGTTGTCACGGAGTGTACATACGGTACAATACAATCCTAATGATCCCAGTGGGAGAAACGAAACGCAGCACTGGGAGTTTTCAATACTGCCAACTTTATCTTTTTTCCCAACACCGATCAAACATATTTTCGAACGCACTACAATATTCTATCATTGGATCTCCAAGATGTGACGTAACGGCGACAGCCAATCCGCTCACGCGAAAGTCCCGAAGAATTTTTTTTTTCTTTTTGCACTCTACGAAAACTTGGCGATGATTCTCATTCTCGCTTATCGAGTTTTCTAAGGGGAGGGGTGGATATTTGGAAAACAGCTGTTCGGTGGACATGTTTATCGCGCCGCGGCTGCCCGGGGGATGCGTACTGGTTCCTTCCCGTCGTCGTCGTCGTCGTCGACTCGCGAGATAACGCGGCGGGAATAAGATGTGATCGCGGGATGCGGGACACGGATCGCGACGGTCGTCACGAGAGCGCGTTCGGTGCCGCGAGAGACGTGGACGGCTACGCCACGGGTTATGTTTTGACGGTCCGCGCGTAAAACGGGATCATGGCACAGTGTAAGTTAACCCCTCGGGAGTTCATCGGCAATGCTTTCTCCCCACAGATCGCCGTAGTCTGCTCCACCGCGGCTGATGCCGCCTGCCAAAAGAATAATCTGTCGTTCGTCGAGCTGCTTCAACCCTTTTGCAAATTAAATACCGAAGGTAAGTCATAGCAATTTGCTGAAGATACTTATACGTTTCTTGAGAAATTTCTCACTTCTTGCACTGATATTTTCACATTAACTGTGTATTTGTCATCTGTGTATCTTCTCAACATTTGGAACACAATATTCTTTAATTTATATAAAATTTATATTTAAATAATTAAATTTATATTTAAAATTAAATCATTTATATTTAAATTTATATTTAAATTTATATTTAAAATTTATATTCTTAATTTAATTTATATTTAAATAATTAAATTTATATTTAAATTTATATTTAAAATTTATATTCTTAATTTAATTTAATTAAAGAATATAAATTTTATATAAATTAAAGAATATTCTTCAATTTTTATATTCTTTAATTTATATTCTCTATTTATATTCTTTAATTTATATTCTTTAATTTATATAAAATTTAATTTATTAAAAATTGTGTATACTTTCACAGGTCATTTTAAAGATCCTCAAGGGAACACTGTAACGATTAGGAATCTTCGGCTTTCCATACAAGATATCAATGCGCGTCCACCGGAACCGAGTCTTGCCAAGAAAATGTTGAACGAAGCAGTCAGTTCTACTTTGTGCGAACGCACAACCACGGTTCGCATTGGCTTCACTGAATTAGACGTTCCCATTTCTGTACCATGGTTCGAAGCATGGAGAGAGACGTTTCTGAGCGTCCAGTTTCCATCGGATCATGAGTTTACAAAGCACTTGCTTGCGTGTATGATAGTTGTTTCTACAACGGAGGACAGTCCGTTAGAAAAAATTCAGAGTATGGGAGCGCAGTTGCATCAAAATGTGTCGGGAAAATTACCTAAGTGGTTCAATAATAACGCTCTTAGGTATTACATCTTGGTTCATGATGCTATTCAGGATGATAGAAATAAGTAAGTATATATGTATTTTCTTTTTTTGTAAATTTATTTTTATAATAAATTATTTTTATAATTATTTTATTTTTATTTTTATAATAAATTATTTTATTTTATTATAATAAAATAAATATTTTATTTTATTATAATATATATTTATTTTATTATAATATATATTTTATTTTATTTTATTATAATATATATTTATTTTAATATATATATATTTTATTTTATTATAATAAATTATTTTATTTTATTTTTATAATAAATTATTTTGTCTTTGATATTTTCAAAATTCTCAATTAAAAGATAATTAATAGCTTTTTTGATTTTGACCTTGTGTTTGCGACTCTATTTCTTTTAATGTTATTATTTTTAAGAACAGCATTGAGAAGGATTTGAATGAGATCGAAACGTTTGCGCTTATTTTTGTATAATTTATGTACTATTTATATCACAATTTTCTCTTGAATATTATCATGATATTTGATGATTTAATTTACTTGTCTATGATTTGCATCGTACATCAACGCCTGTGATTATTTGCCTTGTTTATTTAATTTTTTCCTAGATATTTGTCTTTCAAGCCACATTAATTTAATTTTTTCTTTACTAGCTTTTTCATTAGACAAAAAGAAATATATGCATGTATATATATTTTTCAGAGCGGAAATAGTTTTTACAGAGATGAAGACTATTTATGGTGCTAACAATTGTTTTCTATTACAAATGAATTCAAGACCGCCAGGTCTTTCCGACGACAATACGCACTTGCCTGATCCATGGAGTCAGTTTTTGACAAGACATTCAGAATTGTCTGGTAACAGTGAACAAAATAGCTCGCCTCGTACACCCGCGGATACAGGTGGAGTATCAGCCATGCCAAGCGAGCTCACTATGGAGTCTGATAAGTATGTTCTTAAAATTGCTTATAATATTATTTTAAATAGTACATTAGCACCAAAAACTTTAGATTCTTATAATCTAAATATATTTATGTTTCTTGCTACAGAACAAGTCAAGCTGGGACACCGCTAATGCCACACAATTCTATTGGATTGCCATCTTCGGATTTGACGCAGCTAATCTCCGGAATTGATACAATTAATTTTCCTCCCGAATTATCCGAATCGACGAATGCACAGCTAGAAGTTGGACAAGAAGCAGTCCCGGTTACAATTCATCCACTCAGTCCAAACGACGACAAATTGCAAAGTTTTATTTCCGCAACTAATGTCAAGGGTCAATCTGTTACTACTAGCTCACCGATAAATACAAATGTCTGGGCGGATTCTCCGAATTACGTGGTTGCTCAACACGGTGCTCGTCTTTCCACTCAAGATTTGGAAAGACTACGGACGTTGATTACCGAATTCTGCCTGCGAAGCTTGTTGCCTTATGTAGAAAAACAGATTGGCCTATTGAACGATGTGATTTCGAACAAGAAGGGAGTCAGTAGATCACTATTTAGTGCTACAAGACGGTGGTTTGGTACAAATAAGCCTGGTGTACCAGGTTCGGCGCCTTCAAATGCTGTAATGTAAGCAAAAAAATTATTTTTTTATTATCTTTTATATTTTATTTGAAGAGAAAAGGACATCTCTTTTTTTATTCAATATGCAGGGTGCCCCATTTTAAAGGACCCACTCAAATATCTCAGAAACACTGCGTCAAAATGAAAAATGTTTCAAACAAAAGTTGTGTGGCTTCAAGAGGGCCATAAGATGGTGACAATGATTTGACCTTGGAAAATCATTTGAAGATCATGTAAAGGTCAACTTTAAAATCTTAAATGGAAACCCCAATTTTTTATTTGGTATTCTTGTAGCTGACATCGAGAGCTTTCTAAAACACTATAATTAAATGTTTTTCCATTAAGTACTTTTCGAGTTATAAGGCTTGAAATCATTTTTTAATTTTACATAAACCATAAAATATCTAGGAAAATATTCATTTTTCGATTATCTTACCTTAAAACTTTTATGTACAAAATAATGAAAGGAATCAATTGGTGTAAAGAAAAAACAGTTATTTTTAAGAAAAAATATGTAATTGTTAATTGCAAATTACATATTTCTTTTTCGAAACAACTATGTTTTTTCTTTACACCAATTGATTCCTCTCATTATTTTGTACATAAAAATATTAAGATAAGATAATCGAAAAATGAATATTTTACTAGATATTTTATGTAAAATTAAGAAATGATTTCAAGCCTCATAACTCGAAAAGTACTTCATGGAAAAATAATTTATTATAATGTTTTGGAAAGCTCTCGAAGTAAGCTACAAGAATATGCAATGAAAAGTAGGGGGTTCCATTTAAGATTTTAAAGTTGACCTTCACATTACGTTCAAATGATTTTCCAAGATCAAATCATTGTCACCATCTTATGGCCCCCTTGAAGCCACACAACTTTTGTTTGAAACATTTTTTGATTTAATGAGTTTCTGAGATATTTGAGTGGGTCCTTTAAAATGGGATACCCTATATATATATATATATATATATATATATATATATATATATATATATATGTATATATAATTTCAACTGACAAGGAAAGGTACCCAACTGTCACTCACGGATTCTAATGAAACTTTGTACACTTGTAAAACTATGCAAAATAGTAGACACGTATTTTTTTTTATCTGCGGAGAAGCAATTTTGGGGGCAGAAACAACTGTCCCATCTACTGTAATGTAACTTTCAAGCCTTATAACTCGAAAAATACTTCATGTACAGTAACATTATTATAGTGTTTTGGAAAGCTCTCGAGATAAGCTACAAGAATATGCAATAAAAAGTAGGTGGTTCCATTAAAAAAAATGACCCATCCTATATACAAGGGGTTGTTTCTGCCCTAAAAAAAAATATGTGTCTATTATTTCGCCTAATTTTACAGATGTACAAAGTTTCATTAGAATCCGTGAGTGACAGTTGGGTACCTTTCCTTGTGAGAATCAAGCTAATACATTAACACGACACGATTGGCTCCAAAAATTGAATTCTAAAATCGTATTTATTTACATTTCAGTTACACAGCGGAATCTCCGGAATTGCAATTACGACGCTTGGGTGATTTGTGTTTCATGTTCGGTCACTATTCGCTCGCTTATCAAGCGTATCACAGCGCGAAGCGCGATTTCGCAGCCGATCAAGCTTGGGTGTATTATGCGGGAGCCCTAGAAATGGCTGCTCTAAGCGCCTTCATGCAAGGCGAAACAAACAGGAAGACCATCGAGTACATGGACGACGCGATATTAACTTATACGAATAGCTGTAAGATGCCTCAGTTCGCGACAAGAGCGACGCTGCTCAGCGCCGAGTGTTTGAAGGGTCGGGGGTTGTGCGGAGAAGCCGCGAAGCAACTTATACGAATGACAAGCGAGGACTCGGATCTACGTTCGGCCTTGCTACTCGAGCAAGCCGCTTATTGCTTCATCGGGCCGAAGATGATGCGTAAATACGCCTTCCATGCGGTTCTGGCTGGACACAGATTTTCGAAGGCCGGCCAAAGGAAACACTCCCTGAGATGTTATCAACAGGCGTATCAGGTAGACGCACACTGCCCATTAATCCCTTTTAGGGGCACATTTTTTGTGCGAGATCAACAACAAAGATCATGATGGTTTTGTAGGTTTTTATAGGGTCACCGATTACGAATCTGGCATCATAATTTTAAAATTCAAGTTGGCGGATTATATCTTAGAAATATTGACAATTCGTGGATTTTTTTCTCAAAAACTACACATCTAATCGAAAAAACAGCAAGAATACTTTCTTCTTCAAATTATATGCAAAATATGATAAGATTTTTTAAAATTGAAAATTATCAGATTTTAGATATGTCATCCGCCATCTTGGATTTCCAAAATCTGAGGCCGGCATTGTGATCAGAGACCCCGAAAAGCTATATATGCGCAATTTGGGGTTGATTCCACAAGACCTGTATTCAAAACTGATTTTTTTCCGAAAAAAATAGTGCTTTTTTCATATTGATTATTTATTAATTAATTATTGTCAACCCCCCCAGTGAAAAGTGATGGAAGATTACTATATGTAGGTAATCAGAAGTCTAAGGAACTTGATTGCATGCATATAATTGTAATACATCCATAATGAGGAAAATACTAAAGATAAATAGGTGTATCATATATGATGCCCCTCAAACGCCGCGATTTATCTTGCAAATTGCCGAACTATTTTACAAATAATGTTTATTACACTAGGTATATTACGAAAGAGGCTGGTCTTTGGCCGAGGATCACATCCATTTTACAATCGGCAGACAGGCTGCGTCCCTGAAACAAGTTTCCGAGGCTGTGAAGGCATTTGAAAAGTTACTTAACGCTTCTAGTAAACAACATGCTGTGCAACAAGCCGCGTTTTTACGAGAATTCTTACACACTCGTAACGTGAGTATACACGGATCCGTTATCACATAAAAAAAGCAGAGTTGGTAAAAAACTTGTTTTTTTTTATTTTAAACAAAAAACATTGTTTTTTTTGTTTTATTTGTGTTTTTAAGTAAAGTAAAAAAAAAACATGTTTTAAACAAGCAAAAAACACTTAATAGCTTTGATCTGTGTAAATATTTAAATTTTTCGCTTGCATTAAACTGTAAATAACGTTGCCAAAATTGACAACGCTATTAAAAATATAAATAATAAAATAAAAATGATAAGATGGGTATTATTTTAGCAGAATATTTATTTTTGGATATTAAATAACAATCAGTACAATAAAGATTACTTGGAAAATATTGATTGACTTTACATTTTACATTTTAACATTTTAAATTAATAGTACATAACTCATAGGTCAGTAGTTCCGAAAAAAATGTTCTAGTTAATAATATTTAATATATAATACTTTGGTTCCTATTCTTATTAAGTAACCTCACACTTAACTCTCAACACATAAATTATAAATAAAATAAAAATAAAAAAACCTCAATTTTTCTTTTTAAAAGAAGAACTTTTTTTAGAATTGACCTTTGCTATGAGTTATGTACTATTAATTTAAAATGCTAAAATGTAAAATGTAAAATCAGTCAATATCTTTTAAGTAATCTTTATTGCATTGATTGTTATTTAATATCCAAAAATAAATATTCTGCTAAAATAATACCCATCTTATCATTTTTATTTTATTATATTTTATTTATATTTTTATATTTTATTATTTTATTATATTTTTATTACATTTATTATATTCTGCTAAAATAATACCCATCTTATCATTTTTATTTCATTATATTTTATTTATATTTTATATATATTTTATTATTTTATTATATTTTATTTATATTTTTATATCTATATATTACATAAATATAGATAAAAACTGGAAACACTAAAACAAAAACTTTTTTGCAACATACACACCTATTAGTTTTTTTTTTTTTTTTACAATTTCTCTTTTCCAAATAATCATACATTTTATTTGCGATATTTTAAACGATTCTAAATAGTAGTTTAAAACAGTTTAAAAAACAAAAATGTTTAAAACAGTGTCCACTGTTTTAAACAAGTTTTAAACACATTGTTTAAAACATGCCAACCCTGTAAAAAAGAAACATCAATATTGGACAATCCTCATTCATGGCCATTGTACAGTTATTGTTTCAGGAAAATGGCACTAGTTATAAAGGATTTCCTATTTTGCCTTTGCCGTTGATAGATAGCGACAATATTAAAGTATTATACGGCCCCTTGAGTAGGCAAAGTGAAAGCAATATTCCGGCAAGCCACGTTACGTTTAATACCGAGGAGACGGACGACGCAAAATGGTCGAAAATGGAGGAATTATTAATAACCGAGGCGCAGGGATCTCCACCTATGATATTTAAGCCAACAGTCGCGCTGTATTCTAGAATGAGTAATAATGCTACAAAACCGACTGCAGTTCTAGACGAGCCAGTGCATTACTCTATCGAACTGCATAATCCGTTGCACGTCCCGCTACCGTTGTCAGACGTGACCTTACTTTGGTCGTTTACTTGTAATAATGAGATTATTACGAATGAGATGGAAACGAGCGACGATTCAAATCCGGTCGTCTTGAGCGTCATAGACGCGATTCTCTTACAACCGACATGTAAACAGAACATCGTACTGTCCCTTGTACCCAAGCGAGTAGGAGAATTGAGGGTCTTAGGTATAAGTTACAAACTGTCCAACTCGATACAGGGGATAAGTGACTCACCGGTTGCGAATTCGGCTGTAATTATCGCCGGTAAAAGATTGTTTGAGATTACACCACCGAAATTAAAAAATATCAAGGAAAAATCAAATACGAGCTTGTACGGAAAGGATTATCGACTGGAAATGAACGTGATAGAAAGAGCACCATTTATGCAGGTATGAATTTTTATGAAAATAATGTTATTCATGCGGAGATTCATATTTATATTTTCCCTTGCAGATATTCTTCACCAAGCTGTCACCAGAAATGTTGTGCGGTGAGGTACAGAAGGTGGAAGTCACGTTAAAAAATATAGGCAACGCGCCATTGACAAGTGTATATATCGCATCTACTGATGCCAAGCTCTTCACGTTAGAAGATTCGGAAATTAATAGGAACGAAGGTAGGGATCTTTATTAGGACACATTGTTCTGCAGGGTTGGCATGTTTTAAACAATGTTTTTAAAACTGATTAAAAACAGTGTCCACTGTTTTAAACATTTTTGTTTTAAACTGTTTTAAACTACTGTTTAGAACCGCTTAAAATATCGCAAATATATGATTATTAAAATAAATGATTATTAAAATATATGATTATTAAAATATATGATTATTAAAATATATGATTATTAAAATATATCGCAAATATATGATTATTAAAATATATGATTATTAAAATATATGATTATTTGGAAAAGAAATTAAAAAAAAAATCAAAAACAAACAAAAACTAATAGATGTGTATGTTGCAAAAAAGTTTTGGTTTTAGTGTTTTTAGTTTATGTATATTTATGTAACATATACAGGGTGTCCCAAAACTCATAATGAATCTTTCAAAGACAGATTCCTGGGATCATCTGAAGACGATTTTTCCTCAACGAAAAAGTCGAGGCACTAATAATTTTCGAATTATAAGTGATTGGAAATAAGGGGTTTTTCGTAAACTAAGCTTTGTAGAAATAAAATATTAACAAAACCACATTCTTCGATTAATTTTAAATAGAGTTTACTTTAGTTGAATTTTAATTTAAGGCTTAATTGCAAAGATATATGATGACAAAAATTGGGAACATGCAAAAAATGATGGCCTTCATCGACATTTTCGCTGAGGAAAAATCGTCTCCAAATGATCCCAGGAATATGTCTTTAAAAGATTGATTATGAGTTTTGGGACACCCTGTAGATGTAAATAATAAAATAAAAATGATATTATAAGATGGGTATTATTTTAGCAAAATTTATTTTTGGATATTAAATAACAATCAATACAATAAAGATTACTTAGAAGATATTGACTGATTTTACATTTTACATTTTAGCATTTTAAATTAATAGTACATAACTCTTAGCAGGTCAGTAATTCTAAAAAAAAAGTTTTTTTAAAAAGAAGAACTGAAGTTTTTTATTTTTTATTTTTTATTTATAATTTATGAGAGTTAAGCATGAGATTACTTAATAAGAATAGGAAAGGAACCAAAGTATTATATATTAAATATTAACTATTAATTATTAACTATATTAATTATTAACTAGAACTTTTTTTTAGAACTACTGACTTGCTATGAGTTATGTACTATTAATTTAAAGTGCTAAAATGTAAAATGTAAAGTCACTCAATATCTTCTAAATAATCTTTATTATAGTGATTATTATTTAATATCCAAAAATAATCATTTTTATTTTATTATTTGTATTTTTAATAGCGTTGTCAATTTTGGCAACGTTATGTACAGTTTAACGCTAGCGAAAAATTTAAATATTTACACAGATCAAAGCTATCAAGTATTTTTTGCTTGTTTAAAACATGTTTTTTTACTTTACTTGAAAACACAAATAAAACAAAAAACATTGTTCTAAACAGAACAAAACAATGTTTTTCGTTTAAAATAAAAAAATAAGTTAATTTTGTTTAAAATAAAAAAAACAAGTGTTTTGCCAACCCTGGCAGAAAGAGAATATAAGTTTGATATTCTCATCTATCAATTATAATATTTATAATAATGATGAAATGCTTGCAGATTTGACGATGAAGAAGAGTAGTAGATCAGTCACGAAGGTAGCATTACCAGCCTTTATGAATGGTGCATTAAACGTAGGCGAAGTTTATAAAATGCCACTTTGGGTACAGGCCCCGTACGAGAAGGGCACTCATAGATTAGATTTACTCTTTTATTACGAGAGCGTGGAATCGAAAACGACGTTGAAACATCGATTGTGCCGACACACCTGGCAATTGACCGTGTTAGACTCGATACAAATCACCGCGATCGCCTCTAGAAGTGGATTGTTCAAGGACGACTCGCCGACGTTGAATCTAATAATGTCCGTCAAGAATACCAATCAAGTACACGATCCATCCATAAATGAGATTATGCTGTCGAAAGTGTCGCTTCACAGCGCTGGATGGTCCGCGTTTCACTCTTCCGTTCTACCGCCAAGTATAAAGGTGCAGCCTCAAGAAGTATTTCATTTGATGTTAAAGCTGAGGAAGAAGACTGATGGCGAATCCATGATTTCCGACGTGTCCTTAACCCGCGACGATGAAGCCGACGCCGCATCGGTCGACGATTATCCGTTTGTCAATTTTGTACAGAGACGCGATATCCAATCGTTGGACGTCAACGAAAATGCGAGCGATGCACAACAATTTCAACCGCAGCAGAGTGTCGAGCGCAGCTCCGTATCGGATATCATGCTGTTGAAGTCTACGTTAATCGTCAAGTGGTGTGCCAATGTGACGGAGAGTGGGGTAGTTACTCGGATGGCGCTCGGGCAACATCACCTCGAGCTGGAACATCTGAACAAGACGTACAAACACCCGAGGGAACCGCGTACCGAACGTAATGAATTTGGTGCGCGCTTAAAAGTCTTTGGACCGGATCGAAACGTACCGAATATGATAACCGCTCCTGTTAAAGACCTCGTGTGGGAAGCGGAATGCTTGAAAAGCCTAATCTCTTACTCTCTAAGTCACGAAAGGCAGATTACGCACAGCTTTCAGCGAGGTCGATTGTGCATTGTTCCTGTAATGATATATATACAGAATCACTCAAAGATGCGACTCGATGTTAAAATAAGTACGATAGGCACTAGCAGGTAAGAATCTCCTTTAGCTACACAAGATGCGTAAAAAATATGGAACCGAACATTTTTTTCTAAAATATCTTGAAAACGAGACCTTTTAGAAAAAAATGATTTATACGAAAGTTGTTGGGTTTCAACAAATGTGTCAAATAGTCAGTGTTTGCTGTAGATAATTTCAAAATTATCTAAATAAAGATAAAGATAAAAATCCGTAAATTTATCTTAGATGAGATAAAGATGATTTTGCTTTTACTTAATCTAGATGAAAGATGAGATAATTATTGCGATAATCTAGATAATTATCTAGATATTTTTGTTTATTTTAGAAGACTATAAATATTTGTAAAAAATGTGACGCAGATTATAAATGGGATATTAAAATCATAAACATATTCTTTCTCTTTTCCTAAAGAATATTTAAATAATAGCATAAATGATATGATAAATATTTATTTATTTATTTATATTTATAATATATTTATAATATATTAATAATATAATAATAACATATTTATAGTATATTAATAATAATAATATAAAAAATATATTTTAGACATTTTAGATAGATTTTTAGAAGCTTGCTTTAGATTTTTGGAAAACTTTATTGCATAATGAAAACGACATCTTAGACAATTTTTAGATAAGATGACATATATTTTTCATCTAAGATAAAGATAAAAATACTTTGTATTTCTTCATCTAGTTAAAAATAAAGATGATCCATTTCTTTATCTAGATGATTATCTAGATAATTTTATCTAGATACCAGCAAACACTGCAAATAGTAAAACTTATTTGACCTTGAGGGTAATCATAGAGGAACTCTCAACTTTATAATTTTAAATGGAAATCTCCAATTTTTATTCGATATTCTTATAGCTTATCTCGAGAGCTTTCCAAAACACTATAATTAAGTTATTTTTCATTGAATACTTTTCATGAGGCTTGAAGTAATTTTTTAATTTTACATAAACCGTAAAATATCTAGTAAAATATTAATTTTTCGATTACCTTACCTTAATACTTTTATGTACAAAATAATGTGAGGAATCAATTGGTGTAAAGAAAACACATAATTGTTTCTAAGATAAAATATGTAATTTGCAATTAACAATTACATATTTTTTCTTAAAAAACAACTATGTTTTTTCGGTCCGGTATTTTTTGCGCACTTTATTAATATAACATTGCCATATATGAACCTTTAATTATATATATAAATATATTTTTTTATAGTGAAACTCATCTTCCAAATATTAAGGCCCAACTGTATTCGCCACAGGCTTCAACGTATTACAAGTACGCTGGGCATTCGTCAATTTATTCTAACGTTGAAGCGTGTGCAAGTAACGTCGCAAAGTTACACGCCGTATTGCCCAGCACAGGGACGTACGATTTAGCAGCGCGAATAGAGATATCCGTTAAAGATGTAAATAGTAAAGAGTACGTCGCTCAAAAAGGCAAAATGGAAAGCATATGTATAATTAACGACGGCAGTACATAGGTACATATTATTGCGATTTTTTAGAGTCATCACCGGATATGAAAATACTATTTTTTAGTGTAATTCGGAATCATTCCTTGTCTCTCTTTCTCTCTCTTTTCAGTGTATGTACATGTCATAATGTTCCAAATTGTTACATTATATTACAATTGATATTTTAATAACGCGTCAACGTATTTTTTACCTTGCACATTACGTTTCAGTATCCATCACATTTTCTTTTTATACTTGAAATAACCTTTACGTACTCCGATGAGTACAAATAAAAAGTATATACATAAATAAAAAGTATATACAGGGACCAATAACTCTGTCCACCTGGAATATCTCCGTTATTTTTAGGGATACAAAAATTTTGTACTTATACAAAAATTTTGTACTTAAAAGTTGTACGATAGAAGGCCGGTCAAGAGGGCCTAATATATTACTAATAATTTTTTTGTAGGTGCTTGAAGGCGTTTCAGAGATTTCAAGGTCATCTCCATTTTTTTAAATGGAACCCCCCATTTTTTATTACCTATTCTTATATCTTATCTCGAGAGCTTTTCAAAACACTATAATAAAGTATTTCTTTATTGAGTACTTTTTGAGTTATGAGGATTGAAATCATTTCTTACTTTTACATAAACCATAAAATATCTAGTAAAATATTCATTTTTCGATTTTCTTACCTTAATGCTTTTATGTACAAAATAATGAGAGGAATCAATTGGTGTAAAGAAAACATACAGTTGTTTTTAAGAAAAAATATGAAATTGTTAATTGTAAATTACATATTTTTTTTTAAAAAACAATTATTTTTTCTTTACACCAATGATTTTTCCCATTATTTTGTATATAAAAGTATTAAGGTAAGATAATAATAAAATGAATATTTTACTGGTAAAAAAAATATTTTACTGGTAAAATAAATGGATATTTTATGGTTTATATAAAATTAAGAAATTATTTCAAGCCTCATAACTCGAAAAGTATTCAATGAAAAAATACTTTATTATAGTGTTTTGGAAAGCTCTCGAGATAAGCTATAAGAATAGGTAATAAAAAAGGGGGGGTTCCATTTAAAAAAATGGAGATGACCTTGAAATTTCTAAAGTCCCTCCACCTACAAAAAAATTATTAGTAGCATATTACGGCCCTCTTGGTACCGTACAACTTTTATGTGTACAAAATTTTTGTATCTCTAAAAATAATGGAGATATTCCAGGTGGACAGAGTTATTAGTCCACCCTGTATAAATTTAAAATTCTTTTTTGTTTAAAAATCGATTTTGTTCTGTCAGTCTTATTAATGTAGTATCTATAATGTAGTATCTTTGACCTGTTAGTCTTGAGCTACCTCATGGTAATTTATAAAGCAGTCAAATGCATGGCAGAAATTTGAACAACTCTTTTTCTGTTGTGTTGCAATTGTAATTAAGGATGACTGCTTACATATGGCTGCCAAATCAACACATGTTACCTTCTGTCAAGACATATCGTTCTTAAAAACATTTTTGTACAACCATTTCAAATAATTAATTATTTTTTATGCTATTTTTATTGGTTAAAACATTTTTTTTTTCTTTATACAGATGGGTTCTCTTTCGGATATACAGAATGAATATATTTCTTGTCATATTAAGAGGAATAAAAATGTGCAATTTTGATTTTTCATGTAAATTAAATATTTATATATATATTTGGTGGTTGTTAATTTAATTGTTTACATGACAATATAGTGAATAGAATAATAAGATTAGAATTTCCAAACACTTTCGCAAACATTAACACACATACACAAACATACGATTAATAAGAATTTTTTTCCAAATGCTCTACAAAGATTTGAAAGAACAAATATAAAGATATACTTAGAGTCTTTTAAATAATAGACTTGTATTATATTTTTTGTACAGTGTATCTTTCTTAAAGTAAGAATAGGTGTAAGTTTCATACAAATAATGAAACTATTGAATTTTATATAGATTAGAATATATAGTGCGAAAAGGAAACTCTGTACATATCTTGTCAAATTTATGAGTTGAGTAAAAAGTGAAATTTATTTAGTGTGCACTTTTAATGACTATAAAAGGGTGACTATATTTTATATTGTCTTCCCATAACATACTCTAAACTTTTCATTGAACATTTCTTTAATTGTTTTGCTGTAATTAAATATATATAATATATATAATTATTATGGGATTTGATTCTTTATAAAGTAAAGAGATTTAGAATTTTCTGTAAAATATATGACAGCATGTTATATATATAAAATATCTATTTTATAAGTACATTAAAAAGAAATGTGTTATACTTTAATAATGCATTATAAATATATGTATAATCATGTAGATAAATATTAATATATATACATATATATATATATAAATGTAATATTAATATTAATCCAATAGTATATGCATGATATCTTTTTTTACACAACGATGAATCTTCTTAAACAAATTTGTTAAGAAACAAAAAATGTTTAATAATAGCATAATTTTATCGAAATATGCATTATATAAGAAAATATGTTTTAATTTTAACGCAATCGATAATTTCAATATTCATTACGATCGAAAGACGTAATATTTAATTTTTAATTTCGAAATACGCGCTACTCGACAGGTAATCAAGATTGCCAACTTTAGACCGATCAAAAAAAAGACCTAGATTTATTTTCTGGAATAGAATTTTTGTGATCGAGAGTTGGTTAGCCTGCTTTTGCGGCCAACTTCTCATCGCTGACTGCGGAATTCACGCTCGTTGGAACGAGCATTTCCCTTTTCTCGTTTGGGTTAGCCTCGTTTGGAATCGGTGAGATCGCTTTTCTTCATCCATTGTTATTTCCCAGCATCGCAATACGCACTGAATACATTTTTGCATATTGTATTTTTTCAATGTATTCTGATTGCGTTAATTGATGTCATTTTAGCACTTCTGATTTTAATTCCATTTAAATTGTAGGTTAAAATGGGGCGCCGACCAGCAAGATGGTATGTATAATGAAATTTTCAATTTTCCTTGTCTTCAGTAACTACAATTTTTATAACATTTTTATAACATTTTATAACATTTTTATAACATTTTCTTTTCATATAATGAAACTTTTATTTTCTTGTAAGATATTTATATATTTAGATATTTGTAGATATTTTATATATATAACATGCTGCCATATATTTTACAGAAAATTCTAAATCTCTTTACTTTATAAAGAATTAAATCCCATAATTATTATATATATTATATATATTTACAACAAGAGACAAAAAAACATGTATTATTCTCCATATGTATGAAATTAATGTACAGATTCTTCTCTGATTGAAATTTGCGATTGCATTATATTGCATAATATTGTAATGATAAACACAATGTAACACTGTCCAGCGCATATTACAAAGATTTCTTTTCAGTTATCGCTACTGTAAAAATAAGCCGTACCCGAAATCCAGATTCTGTCGTGGTGTACCGGACCCAAAGATCCGTATTTTCGATCTTGGCAAGAAGAAAGCATCGGTGGAAGATTTTCCATTATGTGTGCATCTGGTGTCAGACGAATATGAGCAGCTCAGTTCTGAGGCGTTGGAAGCCGGACGTATCTGTGCTAACAAGTACATGGTGAAGAATGCTGGCAAAGATCAGTTCCATATTCGTATGAGACTTCATCCTTTCCATGTTATTCGTATCAATAAAATGTTATCATGTGCTGGAGCCGATAGGTATGTAACTAACGTTGACAAAGAATTTTATTCCTTTTAAATGTATCGTTTTTACTCTCGACTGCTGCCGACCTACGGTTGGCAAAAGACTGAGGGAGTATACGTTTCACTAACGATAATATTCGGTGTCATTTTTTGCACATCAGTTTTTTATTAACCAAGGATGGTTTAGAACATATAATTATCATTCTTTATTTGATATAAATTTGACTCATTTTGACATGCATTATTATTGACAAAGTATTATAACTTGGGATAATTTTCTTTGCGTAGGCTTCAGACTGGAATGAGAGGAGCCTTTGGCAAGCCTCAGGGTACTGTAGCGAGAGTGCACATTGGTCAACCGATTATGAGTGTACGCTCCTCTGATCGTCATAAGGCGGCTGTTATTGAAGCTCTGCGACGTGCTAAGTTCAAGTTTCCCGGGCGCCAGAAGATTTATGTATCGAAGAAGTGGGGTTTCACGAAATACGATCGTTCCGAATACGAGGAACTGAAGGCGGCAGGCTATCTTGCTCCAGATGGTTGCAATGTTAAATATCTACCTGAACATGGACCACTTGAGGAATGGAAGAAGTTTAGGAAGGTACTTGCTGCTGCTTAAATAGATACGGGACATTTTTAACATGGAATTGAATAAAATTTTTGAAAAGCAAATCGAATTTTTTTATTTACTAAACCTAAGAACAATCTAAGATACAGGATATGGCATTCAAAATTTTTTCGAAAATTCAGGTTTCTAGTATTAATTTCTATGCAGATTCTCTTGTGTAAAAAATTTTTTATTACTAGTTTATCTAGATACAAATTGCAAAAATAGTATTGTAAACAAAAAATAATTCTATAATTAATCTAATTTATCTAATAATTATAGAAAAATTAATCTAATTATAGAAAAAAAAAGAATAAAGACATAGATTTAATAAAGTTTTTTAAAGCTGTATTTGGAATAAAGATTTGATGACGATCATATATAGACTATATACATTTATTACATCTACTATTAGAAATTGATCTATCAAAACGCTCTCATACTCTATCTCATATGTTATATACTATTTCATTAAATTACATTTTAGAAAAAAAACAAAACAAGCATTTCCTCGCGATTCAAGATAAATTTTTACATGAATTAATTTAATAATTACAATTTATTATTTAAAAAAAATGGTGTTATTTCTTTTTTACAAATACAGTCTTTATAATTTCAAAGTATACACTTGTATAAGTATACATATTGCTTTAAAATCTAACAATTTAAGAGCATAAAAATTTATAAGAAATACAATATATTACATCCTATTTTCCTACAATATCTAGTTAAATATACAAAATAATAAAAGATCTATATTAAAATTCTGTATGGATTAATCACAATGTAACTATATAATAGATTATATTTAAAAAATCTTGAAAAAGATTCGGTCTGATCGCGATAAATAGTTTAAAGTTTTTGAATAAATAACTAATCTGCATTTTTTTTACAGAAAAAATAAAACATTATATAGACAATATTTAACAAGAATGAATACTGTATCCAAAAATATATCTTCTGTCATTTTTTAATGCGAATGACATGTAATATCCGCGTCATTTTCATTTCCTGTGTTTTGAATTTCGTCATCAATATCAATGTCGCATATTCTATGAGAATGTACATCTAAAGCTTCAGTACTTGTAGCTGCGTCTAATAATGGCGACAATTTCTCTGCTTCACTATCTTCATCTTGTCCCTGGCCCTTTACAAATACAAATATAGATAAAGCAATTTGAAATTTATATATGTATGAGAGCTAAAACAAGGATTGGCATGTTTTAAACAATGTGTTTAAAACTGTTTGATTAAAACTTGTTTAAAACAGTGGATACTGTTTTAAACATTTTTGTTTTAAAACTGTTTTAAACTACTGTTTAGAATCGTTTAAAATATCGCAAATAAAATATATGATTATTTGGAAAAAAAAATTAAAAACAAACAAATACTTATAGATGTATATGTTGCAAAAAAGTTTTTGTTTTAGTGTCTTTAGTTTTTTATCTATATTTATGTAACATATAGATATAAAAATATAAATAATAAAATAAAAATGATAAGATGGGTATTATTTTAGCAGAATATTTATTTTTGGATATTAAATAACAATCAATACAATAAAGATTACTTAGAAGTTATGGACTTACTTTACATTTTAGCATTTTAAATTAATAGTACGTAACTCATAGCAGGCCAGTAGTTCTAAAAAAAGTTCTTCTTTTAAAAAGAAGAATTGAGGTTTTTTATTTTTCTTTTATTTATAATTTATATTGAGAGTTAAGCATGAGATTACTTAATAAGAATAGGAAAGGAACCAAAGTATTATATATTAAATATTATTAACTAGAACTTTTTTTAGAACTACTGATCTGCTATGAGTTATGTACTATTAATTTAAAATGCTAAAATGTAAAATGTAAAGTCAGTCAATATCTTCTAAGTAATCTTTATTGTATTGATTGTTATTTAATATCCAAAAATAAATATTCTGCTAAAATAATACCCATCTTATCATTTTTATTTTATTATTCATATTTTTAATAGCGTTGTCAATTTTGGCAACGTTATTTACAGTTTAACGCTAGCGAAAAATTTAAATATTTACACAGATCAAAGCTATTAAGTATTTTTTGCTTGTTTAAAACATGTTTTTTTTTACTTAAAAACACAAATAAAACAAAAAAACATTGTTCTAAACAAAAAAACAATGTTTTTTGTTTAAAATAAAAAAAAACAAGTTTTTTGCCAACCCTGGCTAAAACCCAATATAGTGCTGATTAATTTTTTCCTTTTTAAGATTATAATTTTAAAAAGTTTCTGAAGCGGATTTATCCAAATCAAAATTTCAGAACTATTTACAAGAATTCAGCATCGTGGAAGAAGCAATAATAACATTCAATACATTCAAGTGTAGATTTAATGTGCCTTTTGTTAAAAATGAACAAAAATAGCATACCTCATATAAAGAAACTGGTTGTTTCTCATTGACTAATCTTAATGTGTCGCGTGCTCTTAAGCCAGATTTGTCGCGCGAATGAACTGATTTGGTTCGCACAGCTGGAGATCTATTATGCAGTTCCTTTTGAGAACCCGAGTGTTCATCTCTGGCTAATAATACAGACATCCGGAATTCAGGAGTCGGACAAGTAGTACCGCTGGATCTGGCTGACGTGTCTTCTTTAACGGATACGTGTTTCGACACCGGAGTACGTTCAGCTGAACTGAAATAAACATGTTTTTCAAGTGTCTTATTGATATATGTGTCTTGTTTATTATAAAAAGAATAAAGATATTAAATGAGATAATTACCGGTTTAAGGTTTCCGCGGCTTGAATAGCGCTCGCCGTATCTGTATCGGGTGTATCCGGGGATTCTGGTGCGATAATAGCAGTCCGTGGAATATAAGGCCCATTTAAAGCTTCTATCAGAGATACTGCTTCGTAACCTGATGGAATATTCTCACAGCTTCCCTTGAATAATAATTTCAAGATATGTTAAAGAATTTTTAACATCAAATATAATAATAAACAAATAGAAATATGCTTGAATCAAATTAATACATCGATCGAAAAAAAGAAAAAACAAATGTATTAATTATCTTAATAGTCTCACCTCTGGCAATGGCGGATTCGATATAATTGTACCAATTGCCTTTTGAAGGGCTTTAATTTGTAAGAGTGCTCTAAATGGCGCGCGACATATCGGACAATTATTCGCTTGGTATCTCAAGGAATCGGCGCAAGAATTACATAAACACAAATGTCTGCATGGCAAAATTAGCGTGTCACGGACATCACTCATGCAAATGACGCATTCAGATCCATTGTCTTCGGTATCCTCATCGCTACCTTGTTGCTGTGAGAAAATACAAGAATATATATATATACAGGGTGTCCCAAAAGTCCCGGTCGAATATTTCATAAACTATGCACTTTAGAAAGAAATGTTTCAGACAAAAGTTGTATGGCTTGAAGGGAGCCATCAGATAGTGGCAATGATTTGACATGGGAGAGTCATTTGAAAGTCACGTGAAGATCATCGTCAATTTCTTAAATAGAACTCCCAATTTTTTATTACATATTCGTGTAGCTTATTTTGAGAGCTTTCCAAAACACTATAATTAAATATTTTTTCATTGAGTACTTTTCGAGTTATGAGGCTCGAAATCATTTCTTAATTTTATATAAACTATTCATAAAAACTATTCGTAAAATATTCATTTTTCGATTATCTTACCTTAATACTTTTATGTACAAAATAATGAGAGGAATCAATTGGTGTAAAAAAAAACACAGTTGTTTCTAAGAAAAAATATGTAATTTGCAATTAACAATTACATATTTTTTCATAAAAATCACTATGTGTTTTCTTTACACCAATTGATTCCTCTCATTATTTTGTACATAAAAGTATTAAAGTAAGATGATCAAAAAATGAATATTTTACAAGATATTTTACAGTTTATGTAAAATTAAGAAATGATTTCAAGTCTCATAACTCGAAAAGTACTTCATGGAAAAATAATTTATTATAGTGTTTTGGAAAGCTCTCGAGGTAAGCTATAAGAATATCCAATGAAAAATAGGGAGTTCCATTTAAAAAAATGCACTTCCGGTCTGAATCGCCTATTTCCGACCAGTCTAATTATCTTATCTAAAGTCACAGCCTATATTCCAGACAAAAATACAAAAATAAATGAGGGAATATTTAATGACTTCATGAATTTTTGTCAAGATCAAATCTTATGAAAATTGACGTGATTTTTTGAAACTTTATTTGAAATTAAATGTTTCGATTTCTGTAAAATAATAAATATAATAAATATATAAATATAATAAATATATAAATATAATAAATATTGTATATATTGTTGTACCTTTGCATTCTCAGTATTTTTGTTCTCAATGCCATAAATCTCCTGTAGTAAATAACAAAGGCCATCCACATAAATTTTTTGTTTGAGCGCTTTTAGGACATATGTGCCATCAGAATGTTTTTCAACAACAGCTATGGTCGTGTGAGATTGTTTTGGATCGTCTGATCCTTCTTCTGCTACACAATGTATAGCTATTGGAATAATCTATTAAGTTCAAAAATATATTTTATTCTTACGTGGAAAAATATCAGATTAATTTTAAGGATAAAAAAATATATAGCGTTGTAAATACTTCTCTATCTGCATTATACATCAGATCTTCTTCTGTATACAATGTTGGATCGAATATGTGCGACATTTGTGAAAATAATTGGTTTGCTCCTTTTTTATAATGATAAGTTTCAGAATTCATAGTTGAATCTCGTGGTATGTAACTAGATATAATAAAAACTAGATATAATAAAAACATTGTTGTGAAAATATATTCTAATGATTTCCGCAGTATCTCTTATACATAAAATATACATACGCGACTCCTTTTGTTGAAACCTCTTCTGTACAAAAGTAATATATCGTTATCGCACATCTGACATCGCAGTCAAATACAAATTCAATGTTAAACCGATTAGGTTTCTTGTCAATGTCAATATCCCCATAATGCTTAACATTATGATACTGCGAGGATGTCGATGTTTGATCCATATTACGAACCAGTCTTAAAGATTCCTTCCTTATATTTACTAAACTC